ATATCCTACACAATCTTTTTAATTTTAAACGTTAATTAGAACTGACGCCCTTTTTTTTTTAATTGATGGCACTGACACCTTTAACAATTGAAGTGGGCTCCTCTTAAAGAATTTCTCTATCCAAAGGCGCGCACCATGCTTCTTCTGCGTCATTGCATGGCAATGTGAGCGGTAATTAGGACTTAGACATCGTTAGCGGGTGGGCTCCTCTTGTAGATATTTTTTTATACCATGAGTCTTGGTCGTCGTCCATGATTATTGTGCCGGTGCTGCTTCTGCGTCATTTCATAGCAATTTCTGTGTGGTCATTTTGAGATGCTTTCATCAATGACTTTTAATTTTTCATTCAGTTATAACTTCTAATGTTAGATATGATTGTAATTCATAATTATTTATTATATTTTATTAAAAAATAAATATATAATATTATAAAATTTTTTTATAAAAAATAAAACTATTTTTAATTTATGTTTTTGAGAATAGTGACCTGATTAGAATTTAACATTAGAAGTAGCAGAATTATAAATTACAAAAAAAAAAAAATTCAAGCAAAATGAGCTCTTTAACATTTATAATTTCTTATTATTAAGACAATTTATAAATTACAAATAAAAAATATTCTAAAAATAATAAAAAATAAAAATATAACAATGGTAAAACATGAACATAGATTAAAAATACCAAAATCCTAAAATTCAAAATATAATAAAAAAATCATAAACCGAAAAAAAGTACTTCATAAGTTGATTAAAGACAAATCATTAAGGCTAAACCCAAGTAGAAATTGAGTAATTTATGCAAAAATAAAATAAAATAAATTGTAAACCGAAAGAAAATAAAACAAAAAACATCAAGTATACGATAATCTAGATTTGCATTGTAGGGGCTAATACAAGAGTAATAAACATGAAACTTAAATTGAAGGCTAAAACATTTGTTAACAACAAAGTTAACAAATAACCATGAAATGTGTATAAAACATGACAAAAAAATGACTAACATAAATTCATGACAACTTGAAATAAACAATGATTTTTCTTCACTCTTGGCAAGAACTAATTAAAAATTAAAGTTTCTCTCTCCAATAAATTAGAAATCAAACAATATAATCAATTAACAATTATAATTAGGAAAATTAAAGGTCAAATAATTAATAATTTAAAGATTAAAGTAAAAAATAATTAATAATTTAAAAAGATGTCTTAAAATAAATTTAAGATTTATTGTTATGAAAGATGTTAAACAACAGATTTATATATTTTTTAAACTAATAAAAGAAAAGAATATGAGTTTATGTGATCAATTATAATATAATTAATAATTAACTTTAAATTTACTTTTTTTACCAAATATGTAACATATATTTTTTATTTTATACTTTCATTAGCTTTTAAATTTGTCCTTTTTTTATTTTTTACCAAATTATGGTACAATAGTTAACCTATATATACTACATTACCTTTTTAATTTTATACGTTATTTAGCACTGACACTTTATTTTTTGTGGATGGCATGGCACTGACACCTTTAATAATTGCAGTGGGCTCCTCTTGTAGAATTTTTCCACCGAAGGGTTCCATAAATCTTGTTCGTCGTCCACGCTTAGATATCTTTAACAAAAGCAGTGGGCTCCTCTTGTAGAATTTCTCCATCAAAAGGCGCACCCCATGCTTCTTTTTTTTGGTACATAAGAGGCTATTTGAGCTTAATATCTAAGGGACATGGCCCAGTACAATCACTTTGCAGGATCGTGCTAATACCCGTTGGGGGTGTTGGGAAGAAGGTTGTACCCAAATCGACTGTATGCCCAATAGACGCCATAAAATCAGCAGCATAGTTACCTTCCCTTATAGTGTGCTGCACCAAGCAAGAGCTAAAGGAGTCAAGTAGCAAGCAGAATTCATTAAGAAGAACTGACGCTGCACCTGCAGACACCTTCCGGGATTGGATTTGTTGGACTGCCAGTAAGGAATCCATTTCCAAAATTAGTTGCTGCACTCCAAGGGAAATAGCAAGTTTAAGGCCTTCTCTGCATCCCCATAACTCAGCCAAGAAGCTTGTAGTGATACCCACATTTGTGGCAAAACCATGATACCAGTGCCCAAGGTGATCGCGAAGAAGCCCTCCGGCAGCGGCTTTGCCCGAGCTATGGTCATGTGATCCATCGGTATTAAGTTTAAAGAGGGGACCCCATGCTTCTTCTAGGTCATTGTACAGCAATGTGTGTGGTAATTAGCCCTCAAGACACCTCTAAGGATAGCCGTGGGCTCCTCTTGTAGATTTTTTCTATCCAAAGGTACCA